AATTCAAAAGCTATCTTGTGGAAATTAAGCATATTTTAAAATTTGTAAAAAAATGCAAAGGATGCAGTATAGCTTAAAATAGGAAGTATAAGGCCTGCTGAGTGGCACAGTGGTGATGCATTCCTCTAGGAAAACTAGATGTGTATGAAAGATCATGAGTTTGATTCCTCAGTAGACCTGTACATGCTGGGCACACATGCCCGTGATCCTGGCTGACTGGGGAGGCTATGGGGGAAGCATGGAATGAGGCTCCTCAGAGAGTGCTCGTCTTTTTCTGTCTGTTAAAAACTCATGAAGTAAACAAACGAATTTTCTTTTCTAAGGTTTTTACCATAGGGTGTGTGTGTACAAGCTAGAGAAAGAGATAGAGAATGAGAGAGAGACCCAAAGATACAGAGAGAGGAAAAGTGAGAAATCAGCCCCTAAGGAGGATGGCCATACTTCAATCCCTTCTCCTGCAGTTTTCTCTCAGGATCTTGGGCAATTACACGCATGTGCCCAATGTGATTTTTAAGCTTCAGAGTCAGGGACTCAAATCGCAGTGGATCCTGTAGGAATCCAGTGCCTTAACCGCCACACTATCTACTGACCCCAGTAAATGAATAAACCTCAAAAAAAGAAGTGTATTTAAAGATTTACTCTATCAGACAGCAATACTCATTAAAACAATTCACTTAAAAATTACAATGTGTTATTAGCATAAGGAACAATACCAGGTGAATGGAATATAATATTATTCAAGTTACAATGCCAGGTATATATAAACACTTTATTTGATAAATGGCGAAACTACAATGTTGTAAAAAAAGGAAGGTCCTGAATAATGGTAGTGATTCAACTATCCATCTGGATATTTAACTTATGCCACATATTCAATTCCAAATCACCTTTAGTTTAACCGTTATATGTAAAGACACCAAAATGAAAGTTCTAGAAGACAATATTTTATAGAAGATCATGATCTTCTCCAAGGTACATTATAGCCAGATTGACCAAAACCACAGACAAAGACAAGATACTAAGATTGGCAAAAGAGAAACGTCAAGTTACCTACAAAGGATATCCCATCAGGCTGATAGCACATCTCTCATCAGAAACAATACAAGTGAGGAAAGAATGGGAAAACATGCTCAAAGTGTTAAGAGAAAAGCAATTTCAACCAAGAGTACTCTACCCAGCAACATTAACCTTCATATGGGAAGAAAAGACAAGAACATTCTCAGATAAACAAAACCTGAAAGAATTTACCGACACCAGACCAGTTCTTCAAGATGTTCTGCAGGGAGTGCTATACCAGGAAAATTAAATACAGTCAGCTATGAAAATGTATATCCCAGAATTTACCTGAGAAAAGTGAACCACAACAGGAGATAGATTAAGTACATGAGACTGAACAGGTGAAATAGAATTTTATGACTTTTGACTAGAACATTGCTGATTTTCTTCTAGGCTTTATTTTCCGGTTTTAAGGACTTTTGTCTTGTCTTGAGCTGCCGATAGGTTCATGAACTTACTATTTGAACAGAATCCCAACATGTTTTCTGGCTATAAGTTTTAAGCATAGTTCCTTAGCATTTCTATGATTTATTAAAGCTAAAACTGCTTTTCTTGAAATTAAAAAATATAGTAAAAAATACATAATTAATGCTCTATAGCAACAGCTAGGTGTTACCTTATAGTACACTTGTTCTACTCAGAGTTTCATGACTAAAGTCAGACACGTATTCATAGATATGTACATATCAGCTGAACTTGCTATTGAAAGTATTTAGATTATTTAAGAAATGTTATGAATCAATAAAATGTGGGAAGAAAAAGGAATGGGAAACAACTGTGGACACCTGAAATACTGTGGGAGGAGGGTGGGAAATGGCAGAAGGTGAGAAATAGGGGGAATATATATATATACACACATATATATATATTTATATTTCATATATATATTTATGTATATATATGAAACTAGAAATGAAAATTATTGATGATAACATATATGATTAAGCCGCTATGCACTATATTCTGGATGAAAAATCACATTTTGTATGCTGCGACAATGCTCAGTGAATGAATGTAAATTAATTAATTAAAAACAAAAAAATTTAAAAAAGAAAAAAATGAAGATTATGTTTGTGACTTTCAGATTAAAAAATTATTTTAAGGAGGACAATTTAAGTTATTGAATGTGATTGTTAGATGAGAAATACCATTAGTTAGAATATTAGGAGCCGTAAAACAAAATATTTTATTTTATTTATTTATTTATTTATTTTTTTGGAGAGGTTTTTGCTATAGGGCGCATGCACTCTCTAGAAAGACAGAGAGAGACAGAGAGACAGAAAGCAAGAAATTATCCCTGGGGTGTGGGGGGGATGGCCATGCCTCAATCTCCTCTCTGGATCTTGGGCACACAGGCACATGTTAAAGCTTCTCTTCATCAAAAGGCAACATTAGGAAGTGAAAAGGAGGGCCAGCAGGAGGCGTGGTGGCTAGATGCTGAATTCCACATAGCCAACCAACTCTGCTGTTTAAGTTTCCAACCTAGTGGCCTGAAAATCATGCTGAGTGTATGTGTGCATGTCCAAAACACTGACAGGAGAATGAAATGGATTGTGGCGTGGCCACACGCTCTAAGGGATGATGTCTCACTTTCTTTCTCTCGTTTTCCAGTGAGCACATGCACCTTATAGAAAAAGAAGACTTAAAAAAATAAGAATAATAATGATAAAGTGAAAAGGCATTCCACAATGATAAAAGTTAGAAGATATATATTGGCAATAACTTATGCACTTAAAATATATAAAAAGTGTAAACCAATATTAAAAGAGCAGAAACTTCGTTGGAATAAGTGGGCTAAAGTATAAAATGCATTTTGTAAAGGGAACATCCAAATGGCTAATAAAGTAGAATTCAATCTCAGTAGAATTTACTAAACATATATTACAATCACAATGGGAGACCACTATAAATCTACGAGCATGAGAATAACTGAAAAGATGCACAATACCAAGTGTTGACTAAGATGTAGGATAATGGGAACTCTTCTTCAGAAAAACAGTCTTCTCAAGACTGGAAAACAATTTGGTCTTATCTACTGAAGTTCTTAGGAAATCCATTTTCTTGAGAATTATTTGGAATAATCTTGTGTCTCTTTAACCATGCAGATAAATTAGTGTTTTCTCTGAGATTACATATACACAAATATATACATATACATTATATTACCTTTCCAATAAATATAAACAAGTGTAGTCTAGAGAAATTCATTCTATAGCCATGTTTGAAAACAAACAAAAAACAAAAACAAACAAACAAAGGTAACTACAGAAAAAGAGTAGAGTAACTACAAAAAGATTAGTGACTCAGCATCTTCCATTTTCTTCTAATGAATGTGAGCAACTGCTTACCTTTTTTTTTTAAAGAATTATTTTATTTAACTTTATTGGTTTATTTTCATTTGAGCAGAGAAGGACAGAGAGAGAAGAAGAGAGAGAGAGAGAGAGAGAGAGAGAGAGAGAGAGAAAGTCACCAGGTCCAGGACTTGAACCACTGTTGGCCATGTGAGAGTCCAACACCCTTAACCACCATGCCACCAGCCAGCCCCATCAACTGCTTAACTTTTACCAGTGAAAAGGCTTGCTTTCATGACTCCTTGTCCTGGACAAATATTAACAAAAGCAACAGCTGCATTGGTCTTGTATTTTGTTGTCTTTTTTTTATATTTATTTTTTTCCATGATAGGTACAGAAACATATAAAGAGAGAAACAGAGACAAACATCCTATAAAGGGTTTTCACATTGTGATCCACCCCAGTCTCATGTGGCTTTGATCCTGGGTATGTGTGCCTGGCATGCTTAGGAAGTTACTGGGACAGAAACCCAGTACCTTTCCTAAGTGGGTCAAGTTGTGCAACTCCTACATCATTGCTTGGCTGTAGCAATGTTGTTTTCTGACAACATTCAATCTAGAACTGGCCTCAGCTCCTTTCATGTTGACTTCACTATTTCAACTCTTGTAAGCCTTATCCAAATCCCTTTGTCAAGATATACCACCATTTCTTTAGACTGTTTTTTCCTTTGCTGTAAGTTATATAAATTACCTTGTAAACTATAAGTGTGCTTCTAGTGGTGTGTCATTGGTGATCTTTAACAAGCCATAGCATGGATTCATTCAGTAATCTATCAACTGTGTTTTCAAAGTATTTAAATATCAGTTTTAGCTCTAACTTTAATTGTTCCAACATTTTTATTTTGGAAAAAATTCAAATCTATATACAAATTTAAAAACATTTAATTCACACCTATATTCTTGTTACCTGGATTCAATTCTTAGTACTGTACTTTATTTACAATATTAACTAGGCACTACTACATCCTCATCCACCTAATCACATTTGCTATATTAAGTAATTTTTCAGTTTTTAAAATCCTTTATTATTTTGTCCCTTTTTTAAAGAATTTTTGAGAGTATACTTTTATATCTCTTTCCATACCTTTTTTCATCATTGCAAGATACAACTTTCTTTAATCATGTATTTCGTATAGGAGTACCATAAGGCTGCATTCTAAGTATTGTGTTTTCTGTTTTCCATAATCTCTCTCTGATTTCATTTTTACTCTTAGTTTTAATCAGCATATATAATAAAACAACCCTCAAGTTTATTTATCCCCTATTTTCTAATTTCTAGAACTATAAAAACAGTTTACTGGAACCAGCAGTTGGCATATGTTGCTGGGCTCCCTCATAGTCGATTGCAGTTTGAATCCCAGACCCAGTAGCTTAAACTCATGCCGGGCATGTGTACGCGTGTGCCCAAGATCCTGAGAGGATAATGGAGGAGAAGGGATCATGGTGTGACCATTCCCCCTGGGGGTTGTGATTTCTCGCTTTCTGTCTCTCTGTCTTTGTCTTTCGGGCGAGTGCACACTCCCTGTAGCAAAAATAAAAACAAAAACAAAAACAAAAACAAAACCCTCTCCAAAACAAACAAACAAAAACCAGCTTACTGCCTTAAATGATCTCTGAGAAGCATCAAAGACATCTCAGACTCAATAAGTGTAAAACCAAACCCTTGACCTTCACCACTAAATGCTGATCTTTTGCCATTGTTTTGTATCACAGGAACTGGCACCATCATGAGTTTGCGAGTTTGCTTAGAAAAGCATAAAATCTGTCATTTTGACATCTTTCCTAGTGATTCCTCATATATAATACTGAGAGATTTCCCTCATCCTCTATTCTCTAAAATGAAGAAAGAATATACTTAAAGATTAAAAATAAAGAAAGTCTAATTATTTCACATGCTTTTGCTTGGTCAAAAGTCTTTAATGTCTTTCTATAGTCTCCATAATAAAGATTCTTTTCCTTCCACATTGTTAAAGTTTATTTAATTCATGAGAGAGAGAAAGAAGAACAGGAGTCCCCTGACAAGGCCTTGGCACGCTGTGACCTAGCCTTACAGCCAACAAGAATCATGGCTGTGCCCTCAGGTGCATCTGAAATGTTTAGGTTGACTCAGGATTTAAACTCTCAGCCTTCACATTTGGCTCCAGTATTTTGCAGCAGTACCCTACCACCTGCACCAGTGCACCTAGGCTGAAATGATTCTCCTTAACAGACTGTAAAGCTCTAATCTCCCTTCTCATGTTGAACCTCTCTCTTGTGTCCCATTCTCTGCATATTGACTTCTTTAGGTCCCTTTATGTCCCATGCTTTCTTCTATCTTTGCACACTTCACCTCTTTATTAACCTTCTTCCTACTAATTTTTAATATCCCATGTCAACTACTATTTCCAGACTAGCTATGTCTGTAACAAATTGCCTTATTTTATGCTTTTGACATGCTTTCAAGGTACTTGTATGCGCTCGAGCTCTATATCACTTATCACAATTAAATTTTATATCAGGAAGGAATGCACTCACCTACAAGCACAAAATGAAGAAACAAAGAAAATAGGTGTTTTTCTGCTATAGTAATGAATCTGGAGCAGGACTTTTATGACCTTTCACGTTACCATCTGTAGGCTGTGGCCTTTATTCTCATCATGCTTGCTTTCTCCAAATATTACGTTTGCATTTCAGACAGAAGAAGAAGTGAGAAGCTACATGCTCGTGCCATGTTTACTTCTTTATATCAGGAAAGCAAGGTTTTCCTAGAAATCCCAATAGAACCCCCGTTAGATTTAATTGGGAGGAATTCTGTTCCGATTCTACCACTGACAGCAATGGACGCTAGCAAGTATCCAAACAGGAAGTCAGTGAACATGGCTTTGAAACAGTTATGCCATTGTCTCATAGGTTTACATTATTGTGGGTTATTTGATTCATATTTGATTCCAATAGATTGGTTTTTAAGCTCCTTTGAGGCAGAATAAAAAGTGTTTTCTGTTGATCAAGAAGGAAAGGGGACACCTAAGTAGTTTCTTGCATCCTTTCTAAAATCTCACAGTTTCAAAAAATTATTTTTCTTTCAGCTATATGAAGAGACTTGAAGCCATTTGCAGAAAAATGGAATTAAGGTATGTATTTATCCTGGTGAAGAAAAACTTTAATTCCATGCATTTTTTCATATATAATACACATTTTCCATGAATTCTTCAAAGATTCCTTGCATAAGGGGTGACAACAGGCTTCTTCAGCCCAAATTCTCAGTTGCATGAGTCTATTTCATATGTGGGTCCAACATAGCATTTTGGTTACAATCTCAGAAAAATCTATAAAGCTAATTAAATTAAAGGATGTATTGTTTTATAGCAGAAGCAGTCTCAAGTTTGATACTGAGTGATGTAGGCAAGTAACAGATCTTCAGGATGCACATATGCACATAAGTTCCTGAAAGGGCAAAATTAACTTTACTTTGCGATATGTGCATGAGAATGAAGAAAATGGGTCATACAAATAGTCCTTCAGGTCAGATATATTGTAGTAGTGCTCCAAGGGACATATGTAAGAAATCATTTTAATTACTTCCCATGACACATAGCTACACTATATGAAAACTTTCTTAAATATAATTAAAGTCAGTTTATGAACCTAACATGAAATTACTATAAATACATATAAAGGAATGGAATGCAGGAATTTAAAATACCAGTATATGAACTGATAAGAAATTACACATCACAAAATCTTTTATTTTTTAAAAAATTTTCCAAAGGGTACATATTCTTGTGAGGGAGGGAGAGAGAAAGAGAGAGAGAGAGAGAGAGAGAGAGAGAGAGAGAGAGATGTCATCCCCCATTAGGGGATGGTCATGCTAGAATCTCCATTGTTTTCTCTTTTTGGAATTTTGAGCATGCATAAACAGGCTCAGCATGTTTTTAGGCCATAGCTTGAAAACTGTGTATCCACAGTTAAGGATCCAGCTGCCTTAACCACTGTACCATAGGCTGACCCCACAAATTTTTAAGCAAAAGTAAATTGAAGAACAGAGGTTGAAAGACTATAGTGCACAATGCATTTATATATAATAAGAAACAATGTTATGTGCTCAGTAATGCAATTTGGTAGAAAAAAAAATATTGTATAAAATTCGGGCCAGTAGGTAGTGTAGTGTTTAAAAAGCTTGGGATCTCATATGGTCAACACCACAGTTCAAATCCTGGATCTGGTGGCTTGAAAAACATACGAGGCTCATGTGCTTGCGTGGCCAAAATCCCAAGAGGAGAATGAAGGAGAAGAGATTATGGAATGACCGTACCCCCCGAAGAGTGATTTCTCTGATTTCTCAATTTCCCTCACTCTCTGATTCTGTCACTCTTCCGCAAGTGTGGGCACCCTATAGCAAAATTCCAACAATAGCAAAATAGTTTAAAATGCTAACAAATTGGACAAGATTCTAGAAACTGAATTTTGAGATACCTTGAAGTACAAAAATATTAGGTATAAAAAGTATATGCAGTCAGAAGTATATAAATATTTAAAAACTTAAAGTATATCATTGATAAGACTTTATAATGTTACACATAGTATTATTATATTTGGTCTTCATAATAACTCACATGATTGGTACTTATTTTCCCTTTTTCACAGACAGAAATGACTGAGTTTTAGAGACATTAATTACTTGCCCAAAGTAATATGGAAACAGACATTTCATTGAATCAAATTAAACATTAAAAAAGTCATTATTATAATAGTAAATGTAATATTTATTGAGAACCTACTCTGTATTTGATACTGTGATAGATACATTTGGTGAATTGACTTGTGCATTCTAAGAAAGACTTAAAAATTGTAAACTATTTTCACCAAATTAATCTTTAATATTAATTCAGAAAAAAAAAAAAAAACAACTTAGTGATTCTTAAAAGGAATAATCTTGGAAAGATATAAAAAAATCTTTAGAAGAATAAATGGCTGGGGACCAGCAGATGGCATAATGATTACATGGCTAGACTCCCACATAGTTGACTACGGTTTAAGTACTGGACCCAGTGCTTAAAACTCATGCCAAGCGCATGTGTGTGCATGCCCAAAATCCCGAGAGGAGAATGGAGGAGAAGGGATTGCGGTGTGGCCATCCCCCCTGGGTGGTGAATTCTTGCTTTCTGTCTCTCAGTCTCTCTCAGTTTCTCTGGTGAGCGCACACACCTTATAGCAAAAATATCTCTCTCTCAAAAAAAAGAATAAATGACTGAAAAAAAAAACAAGACAAATTTCAATTATAAATGCAAATATTAAAAGGTATTATGATGAAAACATTATAATAAATACATAGAGTCAAATTGATAGCACCCGGGGGGGGAAATACAGAAACAGATATGGCAATTTTAATAAATCAAGAAAACAATGATTGAGTGTCCAAATTGTTTTTAAAATTTATGTATAATATATATAATTAGCATTAATAACTTAAAAGTAAATATAGTTTTTATAAATGAGCAAAGGAAGAAATAGAAATAGTAAGATCATTTCATTTTTAGGAAATTAGAAAACATTCACTTATATCATGGGTTATCAGTTATTTTCCAGTAAGATCTTGATAGTAAATATGTTAGGCTTTGAGTATGCATCACCGCTGCTTGACTACTTGACTCTGCCATTGTAATATAAAAGCAGACATTTGCAAACACAAATAGATGAGTATCTGAGTTATGATAAAACTTTAGTGAAACATAGTCTTGAGGCCAGCTAGTGGCATACTGGTTAGGGCAAGTGGGTCCCACATGGTCAAATGCACAGTTTGAATCTTGGATCCAGTGGCTTGAAATAAATCCCTGCAGATGTGTGGTTGTACCCAGAATCCTGAGAGAAGAAGGGAGGAGAAGGGTGTTTTTACACTTTCTCACTTTCTCTCTCTCTCTGTTTCTCTCAGGAGGCACATGAACCTTATAGCAAATTGAAGGGGAGAAAAAAATATTCAGACAAGATTTGACTCATAGTTTGAGAATCCCTAATTTATGCAAGTGAGAAACTACTGTTCAATTAGTAAGTCAGTAAACACAGACAAACTAAAAGAGTGAGAAATTTTATTTGCTACAGAATAGGAATAAAAAGACAACTAACTCTTCTGTGAAGTACATAGTCTCTATATTTTCATTATCTTTTGACACCAAAATCCTAAGATTTTTATCCCAAGGAAATGACCAACAATAGTCTAAATCTTATTCATTTTGTTTGTTTGTCCTTTATTTATTTTTGGATTTTGCATTTGAAAAAAATGGAAGAGAGGAAAGAACAAAGGTGAAACATGATTTTTAAAAAATGGTTTCCAAGAATGTTTATGTGCTTTGTAAGTTTCAATCCTAATATACTAACAGGAAAAAAGTGCTAAAAATTATCTCATGAGCTTAGACTAGTCTAGAAATCAGCATAGATAACTCTGATTTTTGTTTGTTAATTAAGCCGAGTCATCCTATCAGTGACTTATCACATTTTAATTTTTAGTCTATCTTGTATTAGCAAAATGGTTGACTGATTTTTTTTTTCTTGCTTTATGTATATGCAGAGAAAGCCATGGGCAGTAATAACAAAAAAATTAACTGCAGCATGTGAAATGTCATTTTTAAGACAAGATTTTCTAATTAAAGTTAGGCTTAGTTGCTAATCCGTTCACTCTGCAAAATGCATTAAACTTTTGACTTGCTAAACAGTATCCTGATGGCCTACCTGTGCTAACAGTAGACACAAAAATCTATATAAAAAGCAAGTAAAACACTGAGTGAATCCAACTTTATATATGTTGCCTCCTAATGGGCAAGGTTGTTCAAGCTCAAAAAGCCTGTTTCTTAACTTCCTTACAGAAAAATGAGAAGGACTGATCCTCTTCAGTGTACTTCTGAATTTAGAATCATCTTGGGTTAACAGGGTTACTATTTCCAGGCCAACTGTCAATCTCGGGCATCTGAAACTTCAGGCATTGAAGGTCAACGCTAGCTTGTTAAGCCTTCTTACAGTCTACGAGGGTAGCTGCTTTAGTTAGAGATCCTTCAAATCTTTCTGGTATTCTACTTTCATTTTTTTTCTTAATGTTTCTCTACATTCTTTCTTGATATCACTGCTTTATAACAGTGTGCATCGCTATCACTGTGATTAGACCTAACCTCGCCTTTCCTGATGCCAACAGATTGACCTCCAAATTGCAAAGGGAGATCTAGAAAATAACCCCTTTCAAAGACTCCATCCTATTGTTGCCCTGAATTCGTTCTTAAGCTGAAAGTCACAATAAAAGGTCAAAAGGAAGTATAAGGTATTACTAATGAAATGTAGGTCATATTCAACCCAAACTATATTGCTCGTGATAAAAAGGAAAGCAATGAAATGCTTCTCTTTCTACATAGGAGATGGGGAGGAGCTTTGACAAGAAATAGCAATTCGAAGAATTTCTGGAGATTTTTAATGAGGATGGTTAAACTTCAGGCACTATTCTAAAATATATAGTTCGGCCCATCTTTATCTCTAAATTATTAAGATACTTATGCTTAAATTTCAATTTTAGCATTACTAAAAGTTGTCATATGTCAGGTTTAGAATTACATTTATTCAAATGTTTGTGTAGAATTATTATACTTATTATATAGTATCTGTGGTTATAGGTATAAAGCCAGAAATATTTTTCTGATAAAAACTTGTTTCTTGATTCTCCTTTTCTGGGCCTAATGTGGTCACCTCCAAGACTTTTTCCTTACCATGCCAAGAACACATGAGTAAATTGAAGAATGACACTGCGAAGCTATGACAACCCTCTTAACCAGCCCTGGCTGACATGAATTATGAAGGTCATTTATGTGGGAGCTCTGAGGTGAGTGAGAAACCCTAATGGTTTGATATTTAGTGAAACATTTAGAAGTTTGGATGCTAGTCCATTTTATTACAGTTTTATAATTTTTTTGGGCTTATATCAAGGATTTAAATTTCTGATAAAAATGATCTATTCTAAAGTATGACTTTGATTTTTGTCTTTGCTTTTTAAAATTTAGAAGAACAATAGGGAGGCAAAGCATTAATGAGACAAAGAAATGTGGCATTTTCTGTTGAAGATTTTTTATAGTTTTATCAATTGTACTAGGGAGAAATGTCCACCTGTTGAAATATTCATTTTGTAAGCCAAATAATGTGATTTAATGCATAAAAGAAAATGAAATTAAAAAAATGTTTAAAAAGTGAATCAAAAATGAGGGTTATTTTTCATGAAAAAAATGACAGAGCTTTTAAGTAAAATTAAGTATTTATAGACTGTGCAAACTAAAACTCAAGACTATAGCTTTAATTTTGATAGTTCTTTCTCCCAGTTTTAAAAATAGCTTTAAAAAGATTTAATTTGTGTAATCAATGTCCTATTTTTGTATATACAGGATGAATAAATAATAGTAACCCACTTTAAAAATCTATGAACTATGAAAAAGTATTGATAATTAAAATTACATTTCATCACTGTTTGCCTAACAGAAAACACTAGCTGGAGTATGTCAGGTTTAGAATTACATTTATTCAAATGTTTGTGTAGAATTATTATACTTATTATATAGTATCTGTGGTTATAGGTATAAAGCCAGAAATATTTTTCTGATAAAAACTTGTTTCTTGATTCTCCTTTTCTGGGCCTAATGTGGTCACCTCCAAGACTTTTTCCTTACCATGCCAAGAACACATGAGTAAATTGAAGAATGACACTGCGAAGCTATGACAACCCTCTTAACCAGCCCTGGCTGACATGAATTATGAAGGTCATTTATGTGGGAGCTCTGAGGTGAGTGAGAAACCCTAATGGTTTGATATTTAGTGAAACATTTAGAAGTTTGGATGCTAGTCCATTTTATTACAGTTTTATAATTTTTTTGGGCTTATATCAAGGATTTAAATTTCTGATAAAAATGATCTATTCTAAAGTATGACTTTGATTTTTGTCTTTGCTTTTTAAAATTTAGAAGAACAATAGGGAGGCAAAGCATTAATGAGACAAAGAAATGTGGCATTTTCTGTTGAAGATTTTTTATAGTTTTATCAATTGTACTAGGGAGAAATGTCCACCTGTTGAAATATCCATTTTGTAAGCCAAATAATGTGATTTAATGCATAAAAGAAAATGAAATTAAAAAAATGTTTAAAAAGTGAATCAAAAATGAGGGTTATTTTTCATGAAAAAAATGACAGAGCTTTTAAGTAAAATTAAGTATTTATAGACTGTGCAAACTAAAACTCAAGACTATAGCTTTAATTTTGATAGTTCTTTCTCCCAGTTTTAAAAATAGCTTTAAAAAGATTTAATTTGTGTAATCAATGTCCTATTTTTGTATATACAGGATGAATAAATAATAGTAACCCACTTTAAAAATCTATGAACTATGAAAAAGTATTGATAATTAAAATTACATTTCATCACTGTTTGCCTAACAGAAAACACTAGCTGGAGTATACCAGAATGCAATCTTAGTTTATCAACATTATCTCCACAGTAATGTTTAAAAGTTGATTCTAAGATTATAAAAATTAAGTATAACTCTTGAATTATTTGTGTATGTGTCAGAGATTAAGTATTTTTCATGATTGTTTCTACCATATATATCAAAGAAATTGTCTCCACTACACATACTATCTCCAAGAGTGATTTTTTTGCCTAAAGATGTAATTTGTCAAAGTAATTTTATATATAAAAAGCTGAGAATAGCTAACTAGAACTTCATATGTTAACAGTCTCTATTTGATCTTGAGACAGGACAATGGCCTTGGCTAGAATAAGATAGTGAGCTATGAGGGTATATTCATTGGTAGAATTAAAGGACCAACTGAATGTAAAGGTCTAACAAAGTAGGTATAGACAAAAATGACTTATCTGGCTGAGACAATAGATATAGGATGAAGTAATTCAGTAGGATGCGCCAACTTTAGAAGAAAGATGCCAAGTTTTGTTTTACATGGGAACTTGGAAAACAAAGAGCTCATTGAAGTATAGAGATGTCCAGCATCTCAACAGACATTAGAAGTGAAGGTCAGACAAAGATAAAATTTATTCTTGAAAGAGGTTTTTTCTATAGGGCAAATGAGCTCGTCAGAGAGACAGAGAGAGACATAAAGTGATAAATCACAATGAGCCCCTGGAGGAATGGCCATGCCATAATCCCTTCTCTCCATTCTCCTCTCGGGATCTTGGGCACTCTTACTCATGTGCCCAGGGTGAATTTTAATCCTTCAGGTCCAGGAATCAAACTGTAGTTGACCACATGGAAGTGTGGCAACGTAGCCATTATGCCATCTGCTGGTGCCAATAAATGTTTAAGTCATACATTTAAGAGTTTAAAATCAGCAAATAATTATGGAGTACCTAGACTGTGTGAGTTTCTGAAGTAATCAGCATAGGTCCTTACTGAAACCAAGGAAATATACAGAAATCCTAAGAAAGATCATAAAGTGGGAAGAGAATCCTGAAGGTAGTGAAAGATGCAGATGGAGAAGTAAAGGAAGGCCTGAGTTGTCAGAAACATGCTAGTTCAGAACATAGAACTTACCTGGGTGAAAAGGTCTATGTGCTGCAGAGCGAGGCCAGAGGCAGTGTTCATCTTTACTTTGTTTAATCCTAGAATATCCTTATACTGTGAGGACAGAGCAAGGTTCTACCATATTTACATACTGCAGATCAAACACATTGAAGGCATTTCCAAAATATGAAGGAAGGGGTAAATTAGAGAGGGAAAACATCCAGATTCCGATTATTTTAAAATGTCAAATCTTAGACCCAAGTCAAATATTTTTAAGCCTCATAAGACGTTACTGGAAAAGTGGACGTGATAAGAGTTGCACTTGGCTGGTATAAACAGAAGACAGTAAAATTTTATTTCCACTATTAAATCCTTCATGATTTATTTGTGAATTGAAAAGATAAGATAAAATTTGAGCTGCTTTTATCTACCATTAATAAGGATATACAAGATGTAACAGATTTTTAGTGAGCATAAACTACTTGCTACTGCTTAAAATGATTAAAATAGATTTCTGTTTCTCCTTCAGGTCTGGGAGAGCAATTTTAGGTAGGAATAAGAAAGCATCATGAATCTTCAGGTGTTTTTTTTCCCTGAAAATGTTTTCCCTTGCCAGGTTTAGTGCTGAGGCAGGGCCTCCACCTTCACTGCTCTTCAAATGAAGCATTTCCTATGGATGAAGTTAAATTTATATGCACTTGAATGAAGTTTTCTCTATTGTCTATATGTACATTAAACTTAGTAAGATACTGAGGTAGGATGGAAAGAGGAATGTATTGGGAAACAAAGAATTGGGGTCCTATCCCTAAGATCTTTGGGAAGGAAAATTCATCCATGTTATTTTCAATTTTCCTATCTACATAAAGAAAGACCTGATTAGGACTATTCTAAATTTCCTATAAACTTTTATATTCTAGGATTCTGTAGGGGAAAAGCCAATCATTTTTCACCGCTGATGGCTTGATTTCCTTGGACCATGATTTTGTACCCACTCTGTGTTTTGGAAACGAACTTGTTTGGGAACCATAATATGCATGGACTATATTTATGCTTTTATCTGCATACTTATTCTAACTCTCTATAAAAAGTATGGTATAACTGTTCATGGTCCTTTGAAAAGGCAATGCCATTGTAAGGATTCAATCAGTTTTCTTGATATTTTTGAGATGTGTATGTATTTGTGTTTAAAAGTTTACATCTACTTCTGAATGGATCGTTAACAATAAACACAGTTCTCTGCTTCTTTGCTTACCAGATTATGGAGTGGAGAAAGGGAACGTTTGAAGACACCCAGGGGGACAGATGACTTCAATGGTCTCCTTTCCATTTTATGATTTTTGTTCCTATTATAGAAAATCATTTTTTTCTATATTTAAAAAATTCTCCTTAAAACTATTACCTGTTTTGACCTTTGAGACCATGTAGGTGCAATTAACCAAACTGTACCTTAATAACCTTAAAGTATAATGCCAGGTTATCACATCCCACTGGAAAGAATGTACGTCAGTAGAGAAAATCATAAAAAGTTTCTTAAATCAGAAACATTGTCTTCGTGCCAATTGTCTTGGTCTTCTAAAGATTAACATTAAGGGTGAGAAAATGTTTTAAGTGAGCACGCTGAACAGATTTCATTGTAATTAGTTTCTGTATTCAGATTAATTCATGGGTTCATTGTCAACTACTGAAATGCCCAGACAAGATAAGGTAATCCGTCCCTCAGGGGAAAGAATTAATTCAAAGTGTCATGGATATGAACACAGAAAAAGCACATGGAAGAAAATATTAATCATGATGGGGGAAGGGCGAGAGGGGAGGAGAGGGCTTATATTTACATTCTTTAATCCTGACCTTTTTTTTTTTTTAACCTACAGGTTTGGGAGACTATTGTTTAGTTATTATTTATTTTTAAATTATCCCATCTTTAGCCATTTTGATTAAATGTAAGTCATAATGGAAAACTAGTCTATATTCTTGTGTAGGGCATCTTATCTTTTTCCTCTTTTAATCTTGGAATATATTCATATTTTCATCTATACATTTGAGAGTCCACTTTTTTTAAAAAAAATAATCTGATCTTTAGTCATTTCGATCAAATGTAAAACACATAAGGGAAAAGTGTGTGATAAAAGTGGGAGGGGTGAGAGAGAGAGGAAAGTATTTATCTTTAATAACTGTTTTACCTTGGCACGTTCTTGCATTTTTATGTATATGTTTGGAAGATTTTTATTCTCTAAACACCATATTTTAGCCATTTGATCAAATGTAAGACATTATTTCTATGATTTGTGTTTCTATTGAGCCAGAAATAATTAAAAAGCAATTTCATCCCTTGAAGATATAGAAAGTATTTTCACAGCACATCCCTGTGGCAAAATAATATGCTCCTACCAGAGACAATTTGAGCAGTGCTTAGAAAGATGTTCATCTTCACAATCTATTATTTCTTTTCAAACAACTATCTTTTCACAACACAAATCCTGACAGCCTAATGAGTAAGAATTTTTCTTGCCCTTTATTTTTTTCCTGTGTGGTCTAAAGAACCAATGACTCCTTTGCCAAGACACACTGGATTGAGAAGTCACTGCCCATGCTTTTATTTGGATGAGTTTTTTTTTTTTTTTTAAAATGAGCTTGTTTGTTTACTATTTCTGCATCTTCTACTTGTGTTGACTTTGCAATTTGCAGCATTTGTTCTCAGCATCTCAGCATGGTTTCAGAATCTTCAGCAGAACGGTTCAGAGTTGTCTGGTACCATACAGAAATTGCTAACTCCTTTGAACAAAGCATTTGAGTCTCGAAGGGTAAAAATTGAGCTCCCATTTCGTCTTGATAACCTTGAACTCTCTTCAGTACAGGTAGAAGCACTGAAAATATTATTTAGAACAGAAGAAAATAACTGGAATATTAGAAAAATATTGTTTTCCATGGTTGATAAATACTTTTTAAAATATTTATCTCTAGTTTGTGTTTATAACCAGCATGTACTCCCTTTTAAAGGTTTGTCCACACTTGTGTTTCGAAAGGTCTAAAATGTGCTCTTCTGAATCTTCCCTACAGTCAAGTTTGCATACATGGAACTTGAGCACATTTCCTTCTTAGCCTCCAAATTTATGTTTACTTCATTGGGAATACTCCATACATAATGACCTTTGGGTCAAAGGCTTTTCTCCAAATTAAAGAAAACATGGCTTTGGCTTTTACAACTTGTTTAAGCATCTTGTTTCTGTTTTTGTTGTGTTTTGTTTTGTTTTCATCATAGGGTACATGTGCTTGCTGAAAACAGAGACAGAGGGGGGAAAGGGAGACATCATTCCCCAAGAAGGGCCACACTGCAATCTCTTTTTCATTCTCCTCTCAGGACTTTAGGCATGAACACACACCAGCCATGATTTTCAAGTTGTTGGGTCCAGGACTGGAATCTAATAAGTCATGTGGGAGCCCAGCATCTTAATCACTACACCATCTGCTGACCAAAAACTTACTTTTTCTTTTTAAGGTTATTCATCTCTTTTATGAGAAAGAGGAAAAGAAGAGACAGGTACTCTCAATAAGGTCTTCATGATGCTTCCCTCAAAGTCACAGCCAGTCAGGATCATGGCATGCCTACAGGCGTGCCCAGTAAGTTCAAGTAGACCCAACACTGGAACACAGAGCCTTCCCATTTGGCCTCTAGCCTCACAACAGCCCAGGCCACTCTGTATTGTCTCGAAGGTATTCTTTATAATCCCCTTTTCTAAACTTCTTCTCTTCATTATACTTTTTTTTTTTTTGGAGAAGTTTTCATTATAGGGCGCGTGCGCTCACCAGACAGAAAGAGAGAGACAGAGACAGAGAGACAGAAAGCGAGAAATCAACCCCCAGGAAGATGGCCACACCACAATCCCTTCTCCTCCATTCTCCTCTTGGGATCTTGGGCACGCACGCACACGTGCCGGCGTGAGTTTAAGCCACCGGGTCCAGGACGTGAACCGCAGTCGACTACGTGGGAGTCTAGTGACATAGCCATTACGCTAACTGCTGGTCCCTGTTTTATTTTTTATAGATGCTAGAGATATGAAAGTGTTTAAATAGCAGATTCTATAAGGGTTATCTCCTTTCGCATTAGATTCACAAAGTAAAATAAAACAAAATAAATTTATGTATATTATACAGATACTGTGCTATAGAATGCTTATGACCAAAATAATCAGACAATTCCTAAAAATTGCTCTAAACAGGATTTTAATGAAAGAACAAGAAAATAATTCTATATAAGGAAGTAATTAAGGAAAAAGTTTAGTAAGAATTTATTGTAAGGAACCAGCAGGTGGTGTGATGGTTAAGGTGCTGGATTTCCCTGGGGCTGACTGCAATTTGAGGCCTAGACCTGGCAGCTTGCTTGCTTTCTTTCCCTCTCTCTTTGTGTCTCTCTGATCAAGTTAAAAATAGTAGTAATAATAAATAAAATGAAATAAATAATTTCAAAAGAATTTATTATGAAATATAGAAATATACATTTTTTCACTTCAAGAGAAGCTAATTCCAAAGATTTCAAAATAAGACCACTTTTCACTTAATTCTGCACCCATAAATGCACAAACATATTTGGATAAATCCCACTATTAATTTTATCAAATACAAATGCCCTATCCACCCTTCGAATATATTAATACTATTAAATGATTGTCTTTTGTGAAAAGCAGGTTAATAATTCTATGAAGAGATTATATATCTAATTTATATATCCTATGAAGAGGTTATATATCTAGCTTAATAATATTCAGGGGCCTCTGCATGGAACATAAAACCACACTTAGAGTTTAAAATTCAGTATAAAAAAATCTTTAATTCCAATCTTGCCATGTGTATTGTTGACTTCTCCCTGCAACTTCATCTCATTTAATTTACTTAGAATTAACTTAATTACTTTGGTTTGCCCATGGAAATAAAAGCACTCTACATACTTCATGGGGGTGCCATGTAATTAACGTATTGAAATTATAGACTAAATAATACTGATTTGCTCTGAGTAACTGAAGTATTTATATAATGGTTATTTTGTCCCATATGTACGCACAAATACAATCTCAAGGGATGCATCAAGACTCATTAGTGACTGTTTAAATGCTCTCATT